GTGGAGTTCTTGCCTGTATTGATTGAGATCTCAGCTTAACAAGGACATATTTTCTGTAGTAAGTACTTACTGTCTGCACATCTGTTTTAATTGAAGACCTGACCTTCTAAAATGCCGGTGTTGTCTGTCATGCATACACTTGCTAAAAATCCAATCTGACTTAGTTGTCTGTGCTCATGTCTTCCAAGTGAATAGTAGTTTCCCTCTCAAATGCCTTTGCTAATAATGTGGCACTGCAAAGTTAAATGCACCACTGTGTATATGAGAAATTTACTACTGGCTGCAAAGTTAATTGCACCATGTAATACTGAGTAAATATGATGGTTTCTGTGCACCTTTTGTCAGTCAGTCGCCCTCTGTAACAGTGTTGCCCTCTTATGTCAAAAAAGTTAAATGCATCAACACGTAGTATACGAGTAATTAACCATCTTGGTGTCACCGATTTTATCTTCATTGATGTGATATGTGATCATACATTTATATTATTATCTCTAATCTTTTAGTGGCTACTATCTGACCTTTGAAGTATTTAATCTAACTTTTATGTAGCATCAAGTGACTGGGTTGATAAAAAGTGTGCATTTGTCAAACCTGCAAGACGAAGTAAAGAAACAGAAGTCATGTAAATCTTTGTGGTTCCATTGCTACAAATGGAAGCAGGTAAAATACATTCCTCTATGATCTTGCTGCTGTTAAGATTTGAACTCGCCTTTTCTTCCTCCGAACTGCCATTGACTAACAAAGAAGGGTACAATCTTTCATCGTAGGTAAATCCTTGCCTTCAAGTTGGCATGTGAAGTGTTGTGACTGCTCTTAGAAATAATTTTGTAGTATATTGTAAGGATATCCAGCAATAGTTTCCTGTAAACTGTTATCTCGGCAGTCGAAAAATAATATGCCATTAAATCAGGAAGGAGCCTTGCATATCCCATTACAACTATTTCTTTCCTATTTTTCATAATAACCTTTGTGTTTATTGTCTTCACTCTGAAATCTATCTACAAACAAACTCAATGCAATATTGATACTTCTACCATACAAAGTGTGCTATGTTTCAAAACACTAGCATTGGTGTCTTGTAGCTATTACTATTGCTTAATGTTTAGGTATATAATGCCTCCACATATTTGTATTAAACACTAACATTCAGTATTACAAATAGATGGGCGTAGCAACGCGCGCCATCCATGATCTAGTGTACATAGTATCTGAGACAAGAGGAGCCTCTCACGGTAATTGGCCGACCAGCGTGGGTCCGAAGGGCGTGGTAATGGACTTTTTTGTCCGATTGTTGCCGATAATTTATTAAGCATGAGTTTGTATATGTCTCCCCCCATAATTAAATAAATAAATTTGAATATGTTTGCTCCGAGATCAATAGGTACTACATTGGCTAGAAAACGAGGCTCAAGCACACAAAAATTGCAACTGGCCATCCGAAACTTTGGTCAACCCAAATGTATGAACATGTAATAGCATTACTACGTTTACAAAAATAAAATACAAGTGCAATATTCTTGATGCTAAAACAAATTTGGAAAACATATTTGACTGCATCATCACATAAAACATAGATGTCTAACATAAAAAAAGGGATCTGAAGACATCTATGGAGGCACATGCATATGAAGACATCTCAATGCTATCAAATTTAGTAGTTACAAACTAACGTTGCACACAATGCTGAACATATTTTTCAAGTACTTCCAATTTGATGTATAGCATGTATAACATATACCAACATACTTTGGGTCAAGTATTGCGCGACAAATTGTTTACAGCCTTCTAGATATTAATACAATATTCAATATTGTATACTATATTAATTAATCTGTCTGCAAACATGTTGCCTAGCATAATAGTTGTTATTGTGATGTTCTCAATGGTAGCATATTTTCATTGCAGATGATTAACTTAAAAATGTTTGACCATCACAAGGAAACAAATTGGAAATGTTTGACTCGCGCAAATGCTAAAGGGGGCTATATTTTCAAGCCGAGATAATATCACAGTAATCTTTTTTTGACACGACGGTAATCATCTTTGGTTGTGTATGTAGTGTTGCTTCAGCCTAGAAAAATTCCAATTGCGAGTCGCTGAAAGTGGAGTGTGTGAGACACTTACTTTTTTACAAGAGCTCCCATGGTTTTGGAAAAAGGAAAAACAGTTCCAGCCCGCTGGCCCATGGGCCCATTTGCACGGTTGGTGGCGATAAGTATGCCAGTTAGAACAAGCTTCACATTGCATCAGATCCTATATCCTTAAATAGTGGCTACCCATTACCTATTTTCCTCGTCATGCAACTGTGTCATGTCCTCAAGTCATACATGTTGTCACAAGTTACAATTCATGCACTAATCTATCCATGATTTGTTTCACTAATTATTGTGTGATGCTTGGAACAAATATATGTATGTCATGTTACATATTTTTGTTATGTAGGCGCCCCGTTGATATCAATGCAACAGTTTTCTCTTTTTATACAACATTTTATCACATGCTTTGTATGCTTTCCTGTTTTTTAAAGACAAACTGACTGCAATTTTAAATTTGTTTTTGTTATAGTTTTAAAAAATTTAGCACCTATTTATGCATCTGTTTTGTTAGGCTTCCCGGTGCAACGCGCAGGCCTTCATCTAGTTGTTTCTGAAGTTGTAACCCATGCAACCAATTGGCGTCAAAAACATAAGGAAAGGAAAAGGAGTGAGAACGATAGCTTATGAAGCTACAATCATTGCCCGCATCATGCAGAATACAAAACTCTAACGTAGGTAGTAATTATACCACATATTCTACGGTTACACACCCCGAACGACAGAAAAGGGTGAGCACATGCATTGCAACAGCAAACAGGGCAGGTTTAGCTTCTTTTTATTTTGATGGAACAGGGCAGGTATAGCTAAAAACGTCCACTGGGACAAGTGGGCAACATGCTGATTCATTTAAAAAAAATTGTGGGGTGGGCAACATGCTGATACTAGTACAAGACTGTTTGTCTGTTTGTATCCTTGGGGGGCTCGCCAGAGGTCTTTGGTCTTGAAAAGAGAAGCCATTTAACACTTTGAAACTAGTCACAATGAAGAATAACATATACTAGTAACATACACATATCCTTAGACTATGTTACTATCTTTACAGTGGGTAGTAGCAAAAATGTGATGTTATACAAAGCTTTATTTATTAGGTTATAGACTCATATTGCATTGGGACATGTGATGTTATAGTAAACTACCTCTCTCCTTATTAAGTCATTGTCACATAAACAAATTTGCTGAGTTGAATTCAATGTTACTGCTGAAGTTAGTCCTACTGTGGCTAGTCTGATAGCAAGGGATCGGGTGAGAGAGTTAGGCACATGGATGTCCACACGATTGAGCGAGCACCCCGGCCCGCAGTACATATATCCTCGTTGCTCACAGCCTCAACGCACACAGTTCTCGTACTGATCCACACAAGAGGACCTTAGCTACTCTTAACCCATGGAGAGATCGTCGTCCCCTTCAAAGGTTCTCCTCGTCTTCCTCCTGCAGTTCCTCCTGCTCTCTGAACCTCAGGAAGCAAGGATACTAGGTGAGTAGTAGTACATGAGTGCATACGCAATTTGTCCATTTTGTAGACATGCATGCATGCACGATTAAAGTTTCTGTTCACAAGCATACACAATTCATGGATATATTTTCTTGGTTGGTTGATTTTCCGTTTGGTACAGGACAATTTCTCTTATTCTTACCTTTTCCCCACTTCAGGTGATGCATACGACTACAAGAACCTGCTCGCGTCGGGTGTCGATGGAGATGCCGCAGCGCTGCCCGCATCACACCTGAACCTCGCCGACGTTGCAGGGAACAGGCGTCCTTTTGCGCCGCCAGCGCCGAAGGTGCCCCCACCACCACACCATCTCCACGGAGATGGCGCGCATGAGCAGCATAGGTCTCCGCCGGCGTCGACCTCCACTGAACCTGCACCACCGCGTGATTACAGTCGCCAACAGGCTGAAGCTGCAGGACACCAACCGATGATGGATGTATCTCGCGCGTTTCTCCAAGCGATCATGGGATATGTGACGAAAATGTAACAAACCACGCCCGCATATGGCCTTTTTTTTGTGATGAATCTCGTTGAAATTGTATCGTTTTGTGTAAATTTTTCGCATTTTAAAATAGAGCACACAAGCTTTCAGCTCAAACCCCTGCTGAAGTCATCGTTTCCTGTGCCGCTACTTTTTGTAAATCTCAGTGAACTGTAAATTATAGCCCGCAAAAAAAAAACTGTAAACTAGTGGAAAGTGTTGGTTCATTGGATCGGTTAGGGTTAGGGATCTACGGTGGAGTACCTTCTCCTTGACTCGAGGAACTCCCGGTGCCGGCCATGGTGATGGTGGCCGGTGATGGCAGAGAGTAGTGGCGGTGGCGGTGCTTCACGTCACTACTGCGCGAAACCCTAGATCGGTGGGTGTATCGGTGGGCTCTAGGGAATCAAATCTTCTGTATGTTAGCATGAGGTCCTTCGTGCCTTGCGCATAACGCAAAGCTTTCTTTACCATCTTCTAGTGCTCTATGCCTGGATTGTCTTGATATCTACCGAGTACACGGTGATAAAAGCTAAGTCAGGACGAGTGCACACTTGTGCATACTATAAGCTTCCAACATCCAAAGCATATGGTACTGCTTTCATTTGATCGATCTCGTACTGGTTCTTGGGACATTGGAATTTCCCAAAACTGCCGCCCTTGATTATAGGAAGAGGTGTCGCTTTACTCGCATGCATATTATACTTTTTAAGAACCTTTTCTAAATATACCTTCGGCGATAGTTCTAAAACTCCATTTTTTCTATCTCGGTGAATGTCTATACCCAAAACATATGATGCTTCACAAAAATCTACTATATCAAAATTTGAGGACAAGAACTTCTTTGTCTCTTGTAGCAGACTAACATCACTGCTAGCAAGCAAGATATCATCCACATAAGAGATTAGGAAAATATATTTCCCATTTTTGAACTTTGCATAAATGCAGTTGTCCTCAATATTCTCTTTAAATTCAAAACTTTTAATTGTTTCATTAAACTTTAGATACCACTGTCTAGAGGCTTGTCTTAATCCATAAATGGATTTCTTCAGGCGGCATCCCATATCCTCCTTGCCTTCCATTATAAAACCCTTGGGTTGTTTCATGTATAGCTTTTCTTTAGATCCCCATTTAGAAATGTCATCTTTACATCCATTTGATATAACTCTAAATCAAAATGTGCAACTAATGCCATTATGATTCTGGAAGAATTCTTACATGAGACGGGGGAAAATGTCTCTTTGTAATCTATCTCTTCTCTTTGTGTAAATCCTTTTACCACAAGCCGTGCTTTATACTTTTCTATATTCCCTTTAGAGTCATACTTAGTTTTGTAGACCCATTTACAGCCTACTGTTTTGGCTCCTTTAGGAATATTCTCTAAGTCCAAAACATCTTTGGAACTCATCGATTTCATCTCGTTTTCCATTGCTCCAGCCACTTTGATGACTGAGGGCTTCCCATGGCTTCTTCATATGAGGTGGGATCTTTTTCCGTATGAACTATTTCCTTGTTATAAATTTTATAATCAGTAGAAATAGCTGACTTTTTTTGTCTTGAAGACCTTCTAAGGGCCTCAACTTTCGGCACATCTTCTAAAAGTGGTTGTTGCTCCCCCCTTTCATGCTCAACAACGGGTTCGGTCGGCTCCTGACGGACATGTTCCGGATCTTCTCCCACAGTTGTCATGGGTGGAGTTGCAATAGGTGCTTGCACCGCAACCTCAGGGATTGACGGTGTTGGTATAGTAGGTAGTGAGAAAAATGACCCCTGAATCATCGGATTAGGTGCATGCACCCTTTTCTCCTCAAGGTCAATTTTCTGAGCTACCATGCTCCCCCTCATCATTTCGTCCTCTAAAAAGACTGTATGTCTTGATTCTGCAAACTTTGTGTATCTGTCTGAACAGTAGAAATGAAAACATTTTGATCTATCAGGATAGCCGTTGAAGTGGCAACTTACTGATTTGGGATCTAACTTTGGAATATTTGGATTAAACACATTCGCCTCAGCTGGGCTCCCCCAGACTCTCAAGTGCTGTAGAGAGGGTACTCTTCCTGTCGACAGTTCATACGGTGTTTGTTGGGGAACGCAGTATTTCAAAAAAAAAATCCTACGATCACGCAAGATCTATCTAGGAGATGCATAGCAACGAGAGGGGAGAGTGTTGTCCACGTACCCTCGTAGACCGTAAGTGGAAGCTTTATGACAACGCGGTTGATGTAGTCGTACGTCTTCACGATCCGACCGATCCTAGTACCGAAGGTACGGCATCTCCGCGATCTGCACACGTTCAGCTCGGTGACGTCTCACGAACTCTAGATCCAGCTGAGGTCGAGGGAGAATTTCGTCAGCACGACGGCGTGGTGACAGTGATGATGAAGCTACCGGTGCAGGGCTTCGCCTAAGCACTGCAACGATATGACCAAGGTGGAAATCTATGGAGGGGGGCACCGCACACGGCTAAACAATCAACTTGTGTGTTCTAGGGTGCCCCCATGTCCCTGTATAAAAAGAAAAAAGGGGAGGGGCCGGCGGCGTCATAGGGTGTGCCCCAAGGGGGGAATCCTACTCCTACTAGGAGTAGGTTCCCCCTTTCCTAGTCCAACTAGGAGGGGAAGGAAAGAGGAGGAGGGGAGAAGGAAAGAGGGGGCCGGCCCCCAAAGCCCTAAACCAATTCGGTTTTGGCCTAGGGGGCGCGCCCCATAGCTCCCTTGCTGCCCTCTATTTCCACTAAGGCCCATGAAGGCCCATTGACCCCCCGGGGGTTCCGGTAACTCCCCGGTACTTCGATATTTATTCGGTGACCCCCGGAACCTTTCCGGTGTCCGAATATAACCTTCCAATATATCAATCTTTATGTATTGACCATTTCGAGACTCCTCGTCATGTCCGTGATCTCATCCGGGACTCCGAACAACCTTCGGTACATCAAAACACATAAACTCATAATACCGATCGTCATCGGACGTTAAGCATGCGGACCCTACAGGTTCGAGAACTATGTAGACATGACCGAGACTCATCTTCGGTCAATAACCAATAGCGGAACCTAGATGCTCATATTGGTTCCTACATACTCTATGAAGATCTTTATCGGTCAAACCACATAACAGCATACGTTGTTCCCTTTGTCATCAATATGTTATTTGCCCGAGATTCGATCGTCGGTATCTCAATACCTAGTTCATTCTCATTATCAGCAAGTCTCTTTACTCATTCCGTAATGCATCATCCCGCAACTAACTCATTAGTCACATTGCTTGCAAGGCTTATAGTGATGTGCATTACCGAGGGGGGCCAGAGATACCTCTCTGACAATCAGAGTGACAAATCCTAATCTCGATCTATGCCAACTCAACAAACACCATCGGAGACACCTATAGAGCATCTTTATAATCACCCAGTTACATTGTGACATTTGATAGCACACTAAGTGTTCCTCCGGTATTCGGGAGTTGCATAGGAACATGTATAAGTCATGAAGAAAACAATAGCAATAAACTAAACGATCATAGTGCTAAGCTAACGGATGGGTCTTGTCCATCACATCATTCTCTAATGATGTGATCCCGTTCATCAAATGACAACACATGTCCATGGCTAGGAAACTTAACCATCTTTGATTAACGAGCTAGTCAAGTAGAGGCATACTAGGGACACTTTGTTTGTCTATGTATTCACACATGTACTAAGTTTCCGGTTAATACAATTCTAGCATGAATAATAAACATTTATCATGATATAAGGAAATATAAATAACAACTTTATTATTGCCTCTAGGACATATTTCCTTTAGTCTCCCACTTGCACTAGAGTCAATAATCTAGTTCACATCGTCATGTGATTTCTCACCAATAGTTCACATCTTTATGTGATTAGTCCACATCTTCATGTGACTAATACCCAAAGGGTTTACTAGAGTCAATAATCTAGTTCACATCGCTATGTGATTAACACCCAAAGAGTGATCATGTTTTGCTTGTGAGAGAAGTTTAGTCTACGGGTCTGCAACATTCAGATCCGTATGTATTTCACAAATTTCTATGTCTACAATACTCTGCACGGAGCTACTCTAGCTAATTGCTCCCACTTTCAATATGTATGTAGATCAAGACTTAGAGTCATCTAGATCGGTGTAAAAAGTTTGCATTGACATAACTCTTTACGACGAACTCTTTTATCACCTCCATAACCGAGAAATATTTCCTTAGTCCTCCAAGGATAATTTTGACCGTTGTCCAGTGATCTACTCCTAGATCACTATTGTACTCCCTTGCCAAAAACATGCTAAGGTATACAATAGGTCTGGTACACAGCATAGCATACTTTATAGAACCTATGACTGAGGCATAGGGAATGACTTTTGAAAGTGCGTTATATCGACTAGAGGGGGGTGAATAGGCGATTTTTATGAATTCTTCACTGAGGAATTTCAGTGTGACGAAATTCCTGGGTGAAGAACTACTTGCAGCGGAATAAGTACTCAGAAGTAAACATAACAGTGCATGAGCATGGTCTTCATGATGAAATGAAAACAAGCACAGAGTACAGAAAGCGTAAACACAAGATAACACAGGATAAAGACAAACAGACTAAAGAAATTGAACTAAGGAAATAGAGAAGGTCTTCAGTCAAAATCTTCTAACAGATATGAACAAGCACACAACACAGAGAGGAAATGGAAGGGTTGAGGAATTGAAACCAGTTAGCTCAGTGAAGACAATGATTTGGTAGACCAATTCCAACTGTTGTGACAGTTGTACGTCTGGTTAGGGCGGCTAGGTATTTAAATCTGAGGACGCACAGTCCCGGACACCCAGTCCTGAACACGCAGCTCAAGACACTCAGTCCTCACCGTATTCCCCTTGAGCTAAGGTCACACAGACCTCGCCCAATCACTCGTGGTAAGTCTTCAGGTGACTTCCAAACCTTCACAGACTCCATCACTCGGCGATCCACAATTTCCTCTTGGATGCTCTAGACCATGACTCCTAACCGTCTGG